TTCTAGAATGCATATAGACATCTAATGAAAAAGGTACATTGTGATTATATAATGATTAAATAATTGAGTAAAATCTATAAGGAATTGTGTACTCTGGGTAAATGTATTTAAAATTGAGAATAAAGTGTATTATGCGGATAATTAAAATATCATTCTCATTTTGATAAGTCATACTGTAAATTGTTTTATCATGATTTTGTTGACTGATGAACTGTAAAGCCAAAAATAATAAAAGAACTTAATTGATATCAGTGTAATATAAGATATCAATATTGAAATACAGAAAACATGGAGTATAAAGTAAATGTTTATCTAGAACGTATTGTCATACCCAGTCCTTCATATTGAAAGCCGGCTATATACATCTGTATAATAATGATTGATAGTTATATATACACCTGTATAATAATGATTGATAGCTATGTATACATCTGTCTAATAATGACAGATAGTTATATATACATGATTGATGTTATATATAATGATTGATAGTTATATATACATCTGTCTAATAATGACAGATAGTTATATATATATCTGTATAATAATGACTGATAGTTATATATACATCTGTATAATGATATATATGACAGTATAATATGTTATATATACATCTATATAATAATGATATGATAGTCTAATTATATATATATCTGTATAATAATGACATATAGTTATATACAGATAATTATATACATACATCTGTATAATAATGATTGATAGTTATATATACATCTGTATAATAATGATTATAGTTATATATATATATCTGTATAATAATGACAGATAGTTATATATATATCTGTATAATAATTGATAGTTATATATACATCTGTATAATAATGACAGATAGTTATATATTGATATAGCTATATATATATATCTGTATAATAATGATTGAGCTATATACATTTGAAAGTCTAATTTTGTGTCAGTTGGGCAAGTTGAGCTGCCCTGGTCCAGTCATAACCGATCTGATATGATGTGGTCAGAGTTTGACTGATTTGTGCTGCACTGGGCCAGTTATAACAAATCTGAGCTTATCATATCTGGTCTGTCCACATAAGCTGAAGGTAATAAAGGAAGGTACATTATATTCCCTGAAAGTCTTTCTTCGGAGGTCGCCCAAGTTACACGTGGAACATTTCATCAAATCTATTGCCCTTACTTTGTGTACAATATCCAACATTTCAAAGTAATTACTTATCATTCTTCCCTGTTTTTGGATTTTTATTTCCTGTCAACATGCCACCTACCGGCAAAAGGAGAAAATGTTTGTGAATGTAACGCTATGAGTCCATGAACTGGATTATATATTAGTATATCGAGCTATGAAACGGATGTAGGGGTTCATGTAGTGTGAAGTTATAAATGTCAATTAATACTGTGGAAACTAACATACCAGTCAGAAGACTTGGTCTTTTTTTACAGAATGAAATAAGGTTCGAGCAGGAAAATTCCTCGGAGGTTGGTCGGAATATTTTGATGTTTGGTACTTTACATTGTATTGCATTGTCCGGATTATAATTGTTCCGGGTTTGTATAAGGTTTGTTCTAATGAATGACATTGACTGAATTTCAAGGTCACATGGGGCAAATGTATTGAAACCTTCAAACAACTTCACAACAGCAAAAAGATCAAAGCAGGTTGATATGAAGAGCTATCCAGTTTGTTCAAGTAAATTAACTTGCCCGCTTCCAAGGTTACAGAGATCAATCATAAGAAAATGTTCTCGACTTCTCAATAACTAAAAGCGCCAGATGATAACAGGGGTGTAGCATACTATCAAATTTGTTCTAATGAATGACATGACTCAAATTCAAAGTCATAAGGTCAAATGTGTTACAATATCTAAACGGCTTCTCAATATCCAGAAGACTAGGTCACACTGTATGCTCCCTCTGGAAAAAGATCCGATAACCATGGAAATGACTGTGAACCCGTCTTGCTTTAAAATAGGTATATAAGAATCGGGAATTATTATTATCAATTGATAAAAAATAAAAGAAAAAACCCATAACCCCAGAAATATAAAATATTGGAATTATTTCCATTTATACTATCTTCCATGTTTGCGTAATGTACACCAGATAACCCCAATCCATCTTTAAGTATGTTTATTTTCATACCACCTTTTCCGCGATCGTTGGTAAGTTCAAACGCATATCTACAATTAAATCTTCTACATAAGAAGCATTAAATCATTTTCCATTAAATACCAGATGTGATGGCGTCATGTTTTGATGTAGGTAAGTATCGATATTTCGTAGAAATACGTTATTCTCAGTAAAAACTTTCTCACACGCTTTCTGGGGTTTTAAATTATGTAGGATGTATCAATGAACCGATACATCATATCTTCGTTGACGGCACCTGCTATGCTCGAAAAAAATCGATTATCCGATTGTTGCATATTTAGACCGAAAAAAAGATGTGACATCTTACATATTACATAGTGCGCATGTGAATGGACGGTAATGAGCGATCAGTCGTTTGCTATATTCAATCCAATTCTTCAAATGAAACTAGCAGTTCAAATGACATTACGACATATTTCTATTGGTTATGTTAGCAGCGAAAAAATACTTTGTAAAGTCGTGAAGGAATCGTATTTAAACGATTAAATTTTACCTTGTATTCAGTTTATTACATAACGTTGTCTGGTTTAAACAATATTTTATTTTCAGATTTTCATTCACAACATACACATACACAAATTATAAAATTGAAAATGGATCTGGCAAAAAGATTATAAATCTTATATTAATCCATCGGATCATGGACGTCACAGCCAAATCAATGTCAAGTTTTCATTTCTATATCTTATATTGTTTATGTAGGTCATGAACTTAACCAAATTTTAAAACGATCTTATTTAGTATATAATATATCCAACTTATTAACAGTAAAAATATAGTAATTTATTAAATGCAATATCCATACTACTAATTGACATATCTAATTTAACAAAGGTAATATAACACTTCAACCGGTCGCCGAGTTCTTTCAGTGAATGACTGAAAGACTTAGGCCACAGATAGACTATGGTTTGTCACACACAATCGTAACAGTGGTGCTCGTGATTCTATTCTGCAGTTCCACCATGATTCATTGAATGACACACGACATCCAACAACGAGCAACCACTTATTGACTCCTTAATTATTTATCAGAAATATCTACAAAAAACAAAGCGAATAACTAATTTCTTGCTTACCGATCAACCAGACATGTATACCAGACGTAAGATAGAGTGCCACCAGTGTGTTAACAATCCTCCTCTATGCAACATACACAAACGGAATAGGATGAAAATACCAGAAGAATCTTGCAGCATCCAATATATGAATGTTGGTCTGATAGCAATATTTTCATATTTTCGTTAGATCATAATAACGAATTCTTTCATAGCCAGGTTTTCCCCACTTGCCTGTCAGCAGGAGACGTTAGCCATCAAAATCGTATGTTTAGTACTGGTATAACACAAGATTGAAAGAAACGGCTTGTAGATAAGAATACGAATCCTAGATATCAAGTTTATTGGAGTAACTAGGATCAATTACATAAAATCCTCGTCGTATCAAAAAGAAAAAAAATAGCATGTCCATCATGTAAAACATTGGAATTAATATACAGTATAAGAAGATATATGTCAAAATACACAACTACAGATAAAGATTTCTGATGTAAAATGATAAAATATCTAATATGCTAGACTAGGAATAACAAATTATAACAATGTCATATGTATTTCAAATTTAAACATAAAAATCGAAAAAAATCTGTACTTCAAAACATATTCTACACATATTATAACCGATTTCAGCAGAAATTTGATTATTAACATAAGAAAGGAACGAGTCTCCCATGTACATTAAGATACATTGAAGTATTGGGTAAGCAACAAAACCATACATCTCGAGACATCATTATGAATAGCACATAATATACAGTCTGTTGACATAACCTCCAGACATTCTTGTCTATAACATATCAAAAACAGAATGCATACATAGCCTCCAGACACCCCTGTCTATGACACATTAGTTATGTTAAGTTCACATAACCTCCAGACACCCCCGTCTATGACACATTAGTTATGTTAAGTTCACATAACCTCCAGACACCCCTGTCTATGACACATTAGTTATGTTAAGTTCACATAACCTCCAGACATCCTTATGTATAGCACATATTATATAGTCTGTTGACATAACCTCCAGACATCCTTATGTATAGCACATAATATATAGTCTGTTGACATAACCTCCAGACATCCTTATTCACATAACCTCCAGACATCCTTGTCTATAACACATCAGTGATGGTAAGTTCACATAACATCCAGACATCCTTGTCTATATCACATCAAAAACCGAATGTTCACATAACCTCCATACATCCTTGTCTATAACACATCAAAAACAGAATGCTTACATAACCTCCAGATATTCTTGTCTATAACACATAATATACAGTCTGTTTAAAAATCTCCAGACATCCCTATTTTTAACACATCAGTTATGTTAAGTTCACATAACCTCCAGACATACTTGTCTATAACATATCAGTTATGTTATGTTCACATAACCTCCAGACATCATTGTCTATGACACATCAGTTATGTTAAGTTCACATAACCTCCAGACATCCTTATGTATAGCACATATTATATAGTCTGTTTACATACCTCCAGACATCCTTATGTATAATAAACAGTCTGTTGACATAACCTCCAGACATCCTTGACTATAATACATTAGTTATGTTAAGTTCACATAGCCTCCAGACATCCTTGTCTATAACATATCAGTTATGTTATGTTCACATAACCTCCAGACATCCTTGTCTATAACACAGCAGTTATGTTAAGTTCACATAACCTCCAGACATCCTTGTCTATGACACATCAGTTATGTTATGTTCACATAACCTCCAGACATCATTGTCTATGACACATCAGTTATGTTAAGTTCACATAACCTCCAGACATCATTGTCTATAACACATCAGTTATGTTAAGTTCACATAACCTCCAGACATCCTTGTTGGCGCTCTGCATAAGAACATGAACGTTTGAACATTTCTGCAAGTCTTCACATACACATTCAAAGTCACATTGAGGAGCTGTAGAATTGGAACGTTGTGAAAACATCCTACAGATTGCGATATCCGATTCGAGGATACATTTGTCACTGTTAGAAGGTCCTGATGTTCCAACCTGAAAATAACCAAATGCTATACATAGAACATTACTTAGACAAACAAACATAAAATCTTACAATGTTAGCTTTTTTGTATTATGCTTCATTGCTTGGAAAATGTGAGTAATGCGCAATTAACTGTTCTCGAAACGAGGTAACAAAAAGATTGATTCTGAAATCCTTTAGATATGATGATAAAATGCTTTAAATACGAATACTTCTTAAATCCCCTATTGAACTTAACAATGCTCAAAGCTTTAATATTTTTTCAACAACAAAATCTGAAAGAACCTAAAATTCATTTCGTGTCATGACTTTTATCTATGATGATAAATCTCATTCAAAAACAATTGCGTTTATCAAAACTGCTAAGTTTATTTTCCTAATCGATATCAAACAATTTACCTTTCTATTATAATTCACACTTCACTTATTAATCACCACAGTAGTAGTTTCAGTATCAATAAGTCAACGTTGGCCACTTGTAGGTTTGCGTTCTAGACTGCACATATATATGCTAAAATTAGATAATTGAAACTTACAAGTAAGATTTTTTGTCCAACTCGAGAACACTCTATGTTTTCACCAGTCACGTGAACTACAAATTTCTGTGACATCACATTGAATAGACTCAAGTCTTTAATCATCAGCCACAACATAGAGGGGGAATTCCCCGGTGTGGGCAAATCAAAGCAAGTATTCAAGTCCTGGTCCAGTGCATATGGTATTTGTCTGTACAATCTGTTGTTGTCATCTATCATTACGGTAATATAGCGTTTCACTGAAAAAATACATAGGAAACATAAGTATGTATTTCAACCTAAAACCTAAGGAATTCTATATTATATATTACTCTCAACAGCGTGTTATTTTCGTCTTTTATTACTGTCATATATGTTTTAACTGAATTAGGAAGATTTTTTTCATCAAATTGTCTTTTTTTCAAACTGTGAACACTTTTCCTCAAAATCATGGCAAAGTTACTTATTCACGTAAATGTGTACTGGTATTACTTTGTTTTTTAACTTTAAAAAAAACTATAGTTTCTAAAATCGTTTGAAATAGAAACATGCATGAATTATGGACGTCTATCTCCTTTGAAATAAGTATGCAGTCAAAAGTGTAAGTATGAAAGAGATATTGACATTATACATGAAGACGTAGTCATTAATGATCAAGGTCAAAAGATAACTGCAAAATTCGTCGATTCATTATGATCAAGGTAAACTATTTAGAATAGCATCGAATTGCAGTCTCTCTGAAACACATACAATTATATTAAACTATCTGGAATAACTTTCAACCATCTTTATGATAATTATACGAGATTTACTAAAAGCATCGTAGCCATCTACGAAAACGGTAGATAATAATTAAAAAAAGTAATCTATTGAATCATTTTGATTACCAAAGAAATTTAAAGGCATCATTTGAGCTATCATCATCGAACATGAAATTACATTGAAACTTCAATATTAAAGAAAACTAGATATAAATGGAATTATATTGAATTATCATCAAAGAAAGCCAAGTGTTATTACGTTGAACGATCATCATGAACGAACATACATGGAAAATCGTCGTATATAAAAATATATATTGAATTACGTAGAATAATCATATTCAAATATAATTATGTGGAGTTATGTTGAAGCAAATGATATTTACTACCAAGAGATGCGTTTGAGATGTGATAGCTTTGTTGAATTGCACTGAATACAAGTTAACATTTACTTTTTTCTGGTTTCATCTTTGAGTTGTTTTTATCTGAAATTGCCATATAAAGATATACTTACGCGGTTCCCACACAGTTGTCACTTTGCAAATCACAGTGCAAGGAGTGGTCGAGAAATAGAAGTAAGCTATAATCGTTGGATGCTCTAACACATACACGTTAGTGTTTTTCTTCCACTGCATGAAATAAACACGTGTATTTAAGTCCATTTATGTTAACACAGCATTGCTTACATTGCATTTTCTTTATAATAAATATTTCGTTTTCACCTCCTTTTTATGAATAGATTATGGAATATTCAGTCATTTTGGTGGAATCAATGTTCCAATATATTCGACAATTTATCATATATCCTTGAGTCAAGCTCCACATTCGGAATAAATAATGGCTAATCGTCCTTCAGGATTACAATAATTCAGATTTTATATTATTGATAAGGATATAGACCTCCCTCGTTGATATTAGAATTATAAACTTCACAACATGAACAACGATTACTGTCTGAATCATCCATTTATAGAAAACAATATACATGCATCCCCGAGCTTTGGTATTTGATATAGCAAATAAATATTCAAAAGCTTATTCCCAGTATCGCGACTTTTGTGCAAGATGTCACTTACTGAAAGACAAGCTGACAATATATGGTTTTGAAAGAAGCATGCTGATGAAATTTTACGGTCGTCAGAATGATCTAATTGGAATTGTTTTTCTTGTGACTACATTTTTAAACCGACTTTTGATTTTTGAAAATATTTTAGATCTTCCCACATAAATGTAAAGCCTAGATTTGTTAACGGAAACATTCAGAATATCAAATGGGATATACATCATTTATAAGGGAGAACAAGGAACAAATATTGACGAAATTTACATCATCTAACAAAATAAAACCAGGTGCCAATTGTAATGCATAAGTATCTAAATGGAAAGGAGAGAGTTTTTGTTTATCGGTTCTAATTCAACACTTTCAATATTGTTCTATCGGTCATTAATCACCGAGTAAACCACAAACTTACTAGTAATGCCTTTCGATGGTAGTAGCTACCATTCAGACTATAGTGGTACCATAGGCTTTCTGGGTCAACATCAAAAACCTTCACAATTGCTTTCAGAACTTTGAAATCGGGATGGTATTCCTGAGAAGAAAAGTAGCAAACATCAAAAATATAAAGCATCGATACAAAACCAGAGCGGAAATATATTGGAATCCATCGGTAACAGACAATCTTATATGAGGTGTCATCGTAATTAGATATATCTAAACACAACTAGTGGATATTATAACGCTCAACTATGATTTCATGAAATTTGATTTGCAAAGCTTTATCAATTCAACTTTAATTAAATCTACAAAAGATCCAATATTTTTTCAACAACTTCAAATGTCTCCTCTCACCGCGAGAAATTTTAAGCGGAAAATCACGAATAGTGCAAATGGCATAGCCATTTTAGAAGTATGCATGTATATAAATTTGAAGTTTACATAGGCACAATGTTGGGACAACAATATAGACCCTTAGCATGACTGAAAGGCCCTATAATATAATTCAATATTGCTTTATGGTTAGATGATAGTATCTTATTGCTGTAAATTTGCTGTCGATGTCAAGTTTAAATAATCAATCAAGCTCCTCCAGATTTTATAATAATTATAATTCTAATGAACAATAATTGTCGAAAATACCCTTGGGTATTTGACCAAGGTCGCTGAAGCAGAAAAATCTTTCGGAACATTGGTCTTACTCTCCTTGTGGTCTGGAGTCTCCGTGTAATTGAAAATAGATCGGATTACGATTGAGTTGACATGTTTGTATTTTCTTGTTGTTTTAGTTACATATTTCTTATTATGTCACGGATCAAATTTTCACGACCTGGTTAATGTTCTAGGAAATAATGAAAATATCTGATACCATTCAGGAATAGGCTGCATTCTGGGGGTTTAAATTTCAGAAGACAAGACAGTAGCGATGTCATTTTCAAGAAGAAAATGTTAGAAATAACACATAACTCCTGCTAAACACATAGCCTAAAACACAATCCAACCATTCTATCCGTGCTTGCACAAGGTATCTCTCTCTTTTCAACAACTTAAATCTATCTAAGATAATCTCAGCTCATCATAACACTTTCTACTTCAACGCAACTTTTCTTGCCGAAATCTCTCAAAACCCTTCTAAATCAGCACATGCACACAAATTATAGATATAATTATATCAAGTCGGTAAGTATGTATGAGGAAGGAATTGAGTGGAATAACAGAAAGCGATAGACATTGGAAAAGTAATAAAGTAGCTTAGTTAATAGGGTCAAGATCAGATCAAGGTTTGATTATAATTACACCACTAACCATAGCCCGGCGGACAGTGGTCCATGTGAGGTTGTCCACAATTGCACATTAACGATCCCTCTATGGTTTTTCGAAAACATGAATGTGCGATAACGGTGGTCAGGGTTGTAGGGATACTAAGGTATTAAAAGATCTTCAAAATTATCCTAACACAAACCAGATCTATGTAGGCCCCAAACATTTTACTTTCAGCTTCTGGACATGTTTTGACTACTAGTGATAGACGTTATTAAGCCCTGGAGCTGTCTATAAAGTAGTATAATCAAATGTTCATTGCTAGAGTCGTTCCCACTGAGGGGGATGCAGGTCGCCCCATCACGTCGCCAGAACACTGACGTTGCAGTTTAGTTCCAAATTTGTTCCAAATATCAAAATAAATATGTTATATTGATTATGTATTCAATTTACTTAATTCTGTTCCTACTCACGATTGTTGGTTTTGGAATTGCCAGTTCTCTAGCCCAGACCGATACGTTGTTGCTGAGAATCCTGGCTTTGAACGACGACGCTTGAATGTTGTTAATATCATTGTCGATATAAGTCAAACGTATAGTCATGGTAATCATGTTAGGAGCGACTCCGTCGAGATATAAAAGAGCCACATTTGTCAACGATGTATAATCGACGAGGACTTTCTCAATCATTCCATCATTGCGTCTGTTGAAGCAAAACGCCGTAAGTTGAAAGATGTCAACTAACAGGAATGATAATGATTAAAAAGCTACAAGCAACAACGATAAAAATAGAGTTATTTTCAAAAATAATAATATCTTGGAAAAACTGTGACCCTATCAACCTTTCTACACTTAGTCAAAAAGTGTTTTTGAGCTGCATGTTCTTAAAATGATGTTTAATGAAGAGGTTTTTCTAAACCTCTCCTGGAACAGCTTCCCGATACTGGACTCGAAGTTGTTGACAAATTGCATCAGAGGATTGGTCAAGGAGTTATCAGATTTGTAACAATTATCATACTATAGTGTAGCATGTTTTGGTAAGCTGGTAAAATAATCAAATACCATGAAAAGAGATTTTCGATGCCATAGTATTTGAAAGGTCTAGTGATGTTTCATTTACATATGATTAGAATACTGTTTTACAGGCAATACGAATCATTAAAGTTTGTTTTCGATAAATGATAAAGATAAAACGGTACAGTCTTTTAAGTATTTTCCAAAACGATCATTGCGTTATATACATAATGCGAGTGATGAAATAAATGTACTTTCATCCTACTGGTTCAATCTCTCCGAATAATGACCATTTATAATCTAAAAACCCTATGTTTATATCAGCTTTACCTATTTGCGATATTTTAGAAATAAAAGCCATATATCAATTCAACATCGGTAAAGTGATAGCCGGACAGACGAAAGACTTGCTGGTAAAACACTGACAAAAGGAGCAATTAACTAAATGATAAATACTCTGATATCTTTCTGTTTTAACTCCGTATTTATTTTATTCAATCTAAACATTGAGTTGAATACTATTAAATATTAAGAAAATCGTTTTTATTATCATATAATGAATGCTTGTTCACTATAATACTTATACAAGTAGTTGAATCTATCAAAAGTGAGACGTGTTCTCGTGGTCATACAAAAAGTCTTTGAAACTTTTTTATTCAATTATTTCTCATGTTTTAAAATGCAGAGTAGCAAAGCCTGTTGAGACTGGCGGAGTTAAACATATATCAATATTAACTTAATAATATCATAATACTTACAACCATAAACAGTAATAGAGCCAAGTTATTTAGTCGTGGAAAATAAAAGTTACTTAAAATATAAATCGATACGATATAAACTTCTGGCTGAGTCACATATTTTTCTTTTATTCTTTCAATGTATTTCTAAACATTTAACCTATGAGATTTTATCATCTGTTTTTTTTTCTCAGTTCACTTAACGCAGCCCATGCTTTTCTACAATAAGTTAGTTTTTTCTACGATTTCAATCTATCTATGAAAGAAAGGAAAAAATCCGCAATGTAAAACACCAATAGAATTAAAAAGAACAGATTTATTTGATTAAATAATTAAATTTAAAAAAAAACAACCCTTTTTAATGCTTTCTTTCTAAACACCCACCTTTATTATTAATAAGAAGGATTCATTTCACTACAATCTGCACCTTACCTTACAGAAACATTATTTTAAGATGTAATATTATCTTCTTGTTCTTACCTGGTTATATTTTCATGAAATGTACCGAAAATGTTGTATCCTCTTGAATAAGAAAAGCGACATATGGCCAATGAAGATCCTGTTGGCAGTTCGACCAATAGACGACCGTAAGATCGATCCCAGTCAGTTACTTGATCGATGACAACATCAGTGGTGAAGGTGATAGAGCGACATTTTTTCTCGTACAGATAAATTTTCATATACTTGGATAAAGGTGGTGTCTAAAACATTCAGGCAACAATGATTAAATTATAAGGAAAGAGTGTTTTATTATATGAATAACATTCGCGTAAATATATTTAGATCTTAATGGTTTTGTGTTTTGTTACCTTGGTACTTAATTTCGCTCTGTCTGTAATGAGCTTTAATAAAGCCAAATTAAATTCCCGCAAATATTTCAGTCATGCAGTATCTTCCCTACTACAAACCTGTCCGGTGCTTCCTTGTAAGATAAACAGATCATAAGAAGAAATTACATACCACAAATATTTCCTGGTCGGTGACATTAAAATAAAACTGGAATATCTGTGGTGATCCTTTTCCCGGGTTTAAAAATTTTAGTTTAAGTTCATGTGATGAATAAGCTTCTGCGATATCCGGCAGTACAACAACCGATACATTTAAACTAAACTTTCCATCGTCGTTTGTCGATTGGTTAGTGTAAGGTATGTAAGCCAGGTACACCGCACTGTATTCGGACATTTTCCATCGTTCAAACTCGATACATGTAAGAATGTTTACTCCAAAGCCTGTTGTAGTATTGACTCCTGCAATGACCACACCGTCCCCACCTGATCCACCATACCGCCTTACAGAAGAATGAAGTTCATATGCTCCAAAACTAAATGGCGGTACTGTCCATGTCAATGTTACATAGCCTCTACCACTTTTTGGCAATAACGGCGATGTTTGTAACGTCGTAACGTTTATCTTTTCTAACTGCAAATGATATATTTTACCATGTATTTTCGGATTACCGGAAAGCAGAAATACATGTTAAAAATGACTGAATTGAAAAAATAATAAATTATCAACTATTTGTTTCGATCGATTTCGATCACCGTTACCCGTACTTGTTTAGTGATAACCTTCGAAATTGTAGGAGGAAACTTTGCTAATGAACTTTTCCTAGTGTCCGACTTTTGCTCTTATCTCGCCAATTACTGTTCACTTCCTAATCCCCACATGTTTTGGAATCATGTAGTACGGAAATGTTACAGATTTTATTGGAATTTGGTGGTTGGTCACATTTACATATATAATAATGTCTGTATCGGACTATCAACATTCTCATAACTAGTCGTCTATATTTTCAAATCGTCGGTCCTAGAAGGATAAAGCAGCAGTAAATAAAAGTTAACTATCATTTGAGAAAAGCTGTATCCAAGACTTTATTTGTATATCTAATGTTTATTCTTTTGCGTCTTTTCTATTATTCATTGAAGGGGCCTCAACTATAGCTAATTGCAAGCATGTACGTTTCAACATCAACAACACTACTGCTATATTTTTTCTACATACTACGAGATCAATACTAAACTAATGAAAGGTAAAAATAAAATGACAATCTAACAATGAATTTCAACACCCTCAATTATAAACTTACATCTGTTCTTTCGGTTGCGTTGAAATATTTTGTTGTGGTTACGACCGACATGGAATCCACTTCCAATGATATGTTCAGATGGTAAGTCTCTCCAAAAATCACAGCAGTGTTCATCATTAAGATAACTTTAAAATCGATGTTATCGGCAGTAGATGAGGAAGTGCTTATGTCATCAAATCCTGTATTGAAGATATAGATTCCTCGGCATAATTGATAAAATGCATATTAATGGGGAAAACGTCGAGTAAAAATAGTGTAGGAAGTCAAAGAACAGACAATTTCTGTTCATGATAGAAACCCACATTTTTTTTAATGTCAGATGAGAACTAATTAATGATTTAGCAACACAATACATCTTCATTTTCGTTCGAAATGGTCTGATTTTAAAGTTAATAAATTACAATGAATAACTGTCATAAATGACTGACCACGAACTACAGACTAAAGGAAGTTATTGGACTTTTTAAGATTTTTGCACTCGATTTACTATATTAGTATATTGCACAATGCTCTGGTTACCTTTGTTCGGCACGTAACCGAAGTCCATAACTCGAGTATCTGGACCTTCACCACAGAAATCATCCGTATAATAAACATGCCCACTAGTTGTAGGTATGATGTCTTTGAAGTGCTCTCCAACAGACTGTACAGATATCGAAGCGATCCTAAGAAATTTGGTTTGACTTCTTAGCACTAGTTTGTATGCTGATAAAGGACTTTTAAACGAAGCATTTAGATAGAATACTTTCAAACTACTTGCTGAAAAATCTCCTATGTTCGGAATGTCTGTCGAAAAGTTGAACTTAATTGTTGAATTCTGCAATTAACGGAAACATTGTAATCTGTAATTTGTTTGATATGGTAACAGTTACAGGGGAAAAGAAACAAAGAAACAAATAATGAAATTAATTTACGAGGACTCTGGATAGTTATTGAAATGTTCTCTTTGTGTAGTGATACTAAGTAAGGAGAGCTTCTCGTAGTAGTAACTATGTCTCAATGTGCCGCATTGATGTAAAACAATGCGGTTATTTCGACCAAAAAAGGGGCAAAAGGACATAATTAAATAGTTGTGAATGCTTTTCAATGATCCATAACATTAGAAAATAAGAAAGCAGAAGATATAGCTAGGATAACCAAAGTGTCACAGAACATATCTATACGTCTGAACATACATGAGCAGGTCTCAACACAAGGACAGAAGCCACTCCTATTGACATGCTTTCTGAAAGGAACGTAGCGTTTACAGTTCGCGTTGAATTTCCCGAAATGCCATCTATGTTAGCCATGAGGTATTCTACAGCTAGTTTCATGAGACAGAAGGTACACTTGTGGGTTGAAGTAACGGAGCTGGAACCTTCAGAAGTGATTAGTAACTCAGTAGTAATATCTAGCGATTTCCGAGTACCATTGCAGTCAATGTTTCCAAAATGATATGTAGCCTTGGTAGGAAAATGTACAGGCTGGAACGAAAATAAGAATATGACTTATTTGACTTGATTCAAACTGCTAGATAAAAAGCGTCGACCTAAAGAGTATGTGTGACGTTTTTTTCCGCGTTGTAAACTTAATTTTGCATTTACTCTTATTTATTAAAAGCGTCGACCTAAAGAGTCTGTGTGACGTTTTTTCCGCGTTGTAAACTTAATTTTGCATTTACTCTTATATATTATGTCGTCTGTAGTCAAACAGAATTGATACTGTTGGTCAGCTCGAGCAGGAATCACACTCTATACCTGATCTTTTGGTATACACATTTAATAATA